CGTTGTAGTCTCGAAAAGAGTGCGTTGATCTGCCANAGCGTTGAGTATGGTCGGAATAATCAGGTTACCCGCCATCTTCAAATCCGCATCACTGGGAGTTGCACCCGAAGGCACAGCTGCAGTAGCGGTAGGAGGATCGGCAAATGTAAACTTGGAAGCGTCGAGTTTATTATTCTCTACTATGACATCGCGGAAGTGAGTGATTTTGAAAAACTTCAAAGACTTATCAGCATCGGAGAGTATGGCCTTATACTTTTCATTGTTCCAATGCCGCTTCTGTTTTAGTAACTTTGCGTATTTAGTTTTGGGAAATTGCTATGTTGGAACCTGATCATCATCCTCCTCAGCTTCCTGAGCAGCAAAGCCACCAGCTTCCTCCAAGGTTGAGTATGATCATCTTGAGGGGAAATGGCAGTGTTCCTGACTTAGACTGAAAATGGAAAAGTGAGATGGGGCTGCTGAGCAGCCCTGATTCCCAACAGGAGAGGGTTACTCTATACTGTCTTAAAGTGGAATAGAAAGAGAGAAAGGGAAGGAAATTGGGAAAAAGGAGGAAGGACCCCCATACTAAAGTGGGGACCTCAGTCTCATGAAGATATGAGACTGCAAGGTAGGGAGAAAAGGGAGAATAAGCACAGTGGGGCAGATACAGGAGAATCTTCCTCCTGAGCTCCCCCTATTTGCCAAACTGCTATAGATTTTCTCACATATACTTGTGGTCGGACTCGGGAAGTTCAACATCGGACAGGCATGCAACTGCTTCGGCTAACTTAAATTCAGATGCACCATTATCAGCATGAACTCCATACTTAATCATGAACCAACCAAGGGGTCAGGGCAGTAGTGTGTACGCCGCCAGTGAGCAGTATGACTTGCACGGTGCAAACTGTGGGTTCTCCACACCTATGCGCAAGTCATGACACGCTGCACTGATTGTTTTGATGATCTCTTTATCGTCGACTGGTCGATCGCGCATACCTAGTAGGGTCGTAAACTGTTGGCTCAAGTGAGTGCCCAACAGCTTAGTGAATCCATCAGCAGGATTAATCTTGCCTGGAATCCACGCTGGACGCACGATACCCTCATTCTGATAATCGCGAATGCGAAAGTCTCGCAGTGACACAAACTTCGACTTGGGAGTAGTTAGTGGATGGT